CAGGGTTTTCAGCTTTCACCCTATTAATTTTCACTTGCATCATAGAATCTAAGAATGTCAGTAGCAGGGGTAATTCCTAGGGACACTACAGTGAAAGTTATCAACCGCTACCTTGGTGTTATGAACACCTTGAAAGAAAGACCTACGTGATCTTTTACCAGGGAATACATTTTTTTTTTTTTTCACCTCTTTCTTTTGGCAAAAGATTACTTACAGGTGGTCTTTATTATAATAAGATAAATTTCAAAATAAAATCAACATAACAATAAAACCAAGATCTTAACAATTTGATGCCATTGAAACAACTACGTACTTTGCTTGAGAATAAAAGACAAGATCGCAAGAAACAAAAAGCATGAGTGCTGAAGATTACCTCAAACGGGCTTATTACACCCCATACCGAGTCACCACCATTTGATGGCGCGGGATCAACGGTCTAGCTTCAATCTCGAACCGAAAAAGCAAATTTCGGTCAAGCCACACAAATGGAACATGAACCCTTTTGATTACAAACTCAAACCCTAAGTGAATTCTCTTAGCAACCTAGTTTGAGAGAGATAGATTCTCTTTTTGCTAAACCCTAAACCCTTAGCGGTAATTCCATATTTGAGAAATAGGAGAGAAGAACTCCATAACCTAAACTCTGAGGTTCTTTCACAATGTGTGTGAGAGAGAGATCAAGCATGAGAGAGAGGTGCGTGCACCCTTTTTGGGATATGAGAGAGAAAGACGAGAATTAGGTACAATAGATAAGGTGTAGAGATTTTTGGGTATAGACAATCTCTTTTTATAGGATTTGAATATGGTGTCTTAGGGTTTTCTTTGGCTTGCCTCTTCTTGTGAGATTGAACATAGACCGTCGATCAAGGGTGATTTGTGGGGTGAGAGATCTTAGTCATCCATTTCATAGATAGGCCATCAACATTATGGAAGGTGCATGAACTATTATCCCCTTTTCCTAAACCATTTTCCCATCAATATATTTAAATAAAATAAATATCATGCATTCTATAAAATTACACGATTCATGTCACATATTCCATAAGGATATGTCAAATAATATCAAGTAGATAAATACTACCAAATATAAATAAGATAAGATCTATATCAATTCAAATTGACCACATCGCTTTAAAACAAACTTGCTACAAAATAGATAAAGGCATGGTCAATATATCTCTTCCAAGATTTGACCACATGCCACAAATCAAACTAACCTTATCTTAAAAGCAAACAAGAGAATCCAAAGAGGGTGTGGCGTGCCACCCTTTTGTGCCACATGTGGGCCCCCACCCACATGCCACATGGTGGGCCCATGTGCACTATGGGTCCCCCCATGGAAAAAAAATATTATTTTAACAATTTAATATATATTTGAATTTTTTTTATAACTTTGTAAGAACAATAACAATATTTTTATAAGTCCAAAAATCACAAAGAAAATATTGAGAGATTCATAAAAATTCAAATAATAAAACTAAAATCATTTCAATAATAAAATGAACACAATTAAATTAATATGATGGGAAAAGGATCCATATGGTTTTAGGAATCTAATTTGTAATAACGGGGTACTCTACCTTCAACTGCGGACTACAGACGACACTAGCTTTATCGAACCGACCCAGTGTTTCCCATGAGCCACAGTCCAAGCAGGGGCTCATTAGCGGGTCACCAAAGTTCGGTGGATGAATCAAGGGGTCACAATCCCAGTCTGTGGATTACAGGTCCTCCCCTAGAGACGAGTCAAGGTCACCACGACCTGATGCGACCACAATTCTATGGCGCATATGGGTATCTCTCGCATATGCATATGCTTCACCCAAAGGTGGATATCTGGCTTTTCCAAACGATCTATCAATATGCATGCCGTGTGATGGAACATGGATGAGGTTTTAGCCCCTATCTCAGTAGGCCACCATCACACACAAGGGTCACATAGTCCTTCGGCTCACTCATCCGGACATGTTCTCCGACCTCATCAAGGGCTAACCCATAAATCCTCGTCTGTTTGTTCTTCATGCTCAGGTAACATGGGTTTTTTCCAACTGACTGACCTAGATCGTTAAGCACAGATCCATATCAGCAAACCATCG